GATTACTCTGTAGCTCAAATTGTGCCAACTAACCTGCCCGATATTGTTCGCTAGCAGCAATATCAATGTCCCTTCTCCCACCTTGGGCAACATTAGCATCAGTTTCAGTTTTCGAGGACTACATATAAGGCAGGTCAGTTTACTGCTAGAAAAACTCTAAAGGTAATCACACATTTGATGCCTGGGGATGTAGATGGGAGAAGAAAGGGTATACAACATTCACAGGTAAGCAAAACACAACAGCAATGTAAATCCCTCTTTTACATTTAATTGATTAAAACAGACTGCATACATAATACAGACGAACAATGAGTGTGATTTCTAAGCTCGACTCTGTGCAAATCAACTCATAGGTATATATATCATTAGATTAATGGATGCCATTTTTATCTTGCTTTCTGCTTTTACAATGTTCTTTCTCTAGAAATGAATGTTTTAACAAGAAATTGGATTTTATTGATAAAATTCTTATTCAGAAATATCTACATAGAACTTCTCAGCTATAAATATTAATTAATTGGATCGCTGGTACCCATAATGCAACTTTGTTCTGACCTATGTGCCCTATGAACTAGATATTTTTTGGATTCAATTTTCTTAAAACCAACTGTCAGCATCATGTGATGGAGGAGATGAAAAATGAAAATGAGCAGTCCCGCTGTGCAGGTGGGTGACCTGTGGGAGAGAGTCCGCCTGGTAGGATTTTTACAGGAACCATCAGACACAGACCAATTGATTAGATCATCTCATACCCGCCACCAACTAGGCTCAAGAGACTAATTAGAGAGAGTACTGCCTGCGCAGGCACCCCATTGACACCTAATTTGCTCAGCCAAAGCCTTTGGGGAAAATGTATTATCTCTGCAGCTGCACTTCATGCATTTCTGATTTGAGGCATAAGCAAGGAGTGCTTCATCACTCTTTTGAGCAAACTGAATGCAGAGCCCTTAAGTGCTAAATGCAAGCAAACAGACCCAAATTAAAAATGGGCCAGGCTCCTTCTAATTCCCTCCATGCTCCCCGTTAAATCTCTGTGTGTACACAGACACACACACCCCTGCACACACACATGCAGTTTACTCGCCGGCGGGATGACACAGCCGAGGACCCCAGCTCAGGGTGCTTCTCTGTGATCAGATCATCTCTTTCGCTAGCCTATTTACCCACTCTAAGGTATTGTGTTTGTTTTACTGTTTTTCTTAAATTATTATTATTATTTTTCCCTCTTGCATTGACC